ATCAACGGAGCAGTTAAAGTAACGTGTTCATTGTTTATGTGTCTGTAGTTATTATTTTGACGTGCGACAGTCACAATTAAAGTACCAAGGGCACTTTGAAAGAGGTTATATCGTAGAGTGGTGTTTTACTTAATACCTTAGATGGTATACTAGTTAATAGTTATTTTCAGATTTACTTTGAACTACTTGTCTTAGTTGAGTGATTCAGTAATACAGTACAGAGAGAATAGAGCATTAGTCTTAACCGATAAAGTTGATTTTGAAATTCTTACCAACATGAACAAAATAATTTTGCCGACTTTGGAGAAAAAGTGAGAAGTAATCTTTAATATTAAAAACAACGTGACGGATGGATGGATAAGAAAACAGGATCGTTTGAAGCATGTAGGTAGTAAATAAATTGCCCGCTTCGCTTAATTTTAGACTCAACGGCCAGTTTCATGTAGACAATTTAATATCGTGAGAGACGTTTACCGCTCACATGCTTGCGTTTATGACACTTTTAGTGTTCATAAAATAATATGGGTAATTTGTTGAAGATTTGTGCCCTACGCGACAAAATGTCCTGTTTTGTCGCATAGGAGAGGAGATTATTATTTTTTGATTATTCAAATCCAATCAATTTTGGAAATAAATTGAAACATCATTTATCTACGAAAGATAATCGGGACCCATAGCTACGAGACGAAAAGCGAAAGAGACATAACATAATATTACGCCTTTTATCCTCGAAGGGGTAGGCAGAGGTGCACATTATACCATTGTACAATGTAACACCCACTTTTCACTATTTATGTTATGAGTCCCATGTAATAGGGGGTGAGCCTATTGCATTATACCGGGCACAGTTCCAGACTCCGTGCTACTACTGAGAATTTTTAAAAACCCAGTAATACTTTGCCCGACCCAGGAATCGAACCCGACACGCCTTACCCGGCAGTCGCAATTGCGACCACTCGGCCAACGAGGCAGTCAAGTGTGTTTTCAAGGCAAGTTTTGCCTTGAAAACACATTTTCGATATTTTGGAAACCATTCCTGAAAATTTACGAGGGAATTTTGACCAATTTTGATCGATATCGGAATGTTGCTTTTGCTCAAATTTTCGACAAGTTAAATCATGATAGTGATTGATATGAGATAAGCAAACCCATTCAATTCGTCGTATCTTGGTTAACCCAAATATTTGCAGATTGGGACCAAAGATATGAGTTTCAAAATTTTACAATTCCACCATAACTTCTACTTTCTTTTGGTGCCAAATTCAAGATGACCCAAATTGAAGTAAATTAGACTCCATCGCAATAAAATTTTAGTTAGAAATGCCAGTAATATCTAACGTCCGGAGAAGTTTTTGACGACTCCAAAAATATCTAATACTTGACAAGTATTTTTAGAATCCAATTAATCACGTGTATTTCTATACTAAAATATAGGACAAAATCAAACTTGAAGATGACGGCATCGTGGGAGATTTGGCCGATCTGCCAATAACTGATGGATTAAATGAATTCTTGAGTGAGTGAAAACTACGAAGGAGATGGATTGATGATTCTCAAAATATTGTGAACCGTGTCTAAATCTGAGTACTTACACGTGTAAAGTTCTTTCCAGATGTGAATTGTTATTGACTACAAATCATGGCTTAGTAACAACAGCCAAAATTACAATCCGAATAATGTTTAGAATGTAACAGCAACGTCGGATTTGGCAAGCGATTAGAGAGAAAAGTGTGATGCTCCGAATCGTCAATTCCACGTGAAAATTCTTCTATAATGTCGACACTGCCAAATACTAGTTTGATGTTAATAGACGCCAATTTTTTCAAAGTGTAGTTTTACGAGATCAAACGCGAAATTTTCTTATTTATTACGCTTGATGTTTTAGTTAAGTTTTACTGATTGTGACCTTACAGACTCAACATCTTTTATCACTCTTTCACCAAGTCGCCCGTCTTTAAACTGTCAAACACCAAGCGGTCACCGGTGACCGCAACCTATTGTTCTATAATTGTGGCGGAGAACCTAACGGGTAACCGGGGCTCCAGCTCGACGTGCAGGAGAAGGAACGGGGTGCTTTTTAGTCAGTAAGAGTCTGACACTTCCTCCCGCCTCACCCATGCGAGAGCAGTCTTTAGATGATTTTCCCCCCTTAAAAAAAATAAAAAAAATGTTCTATAATTGTGTCTATAATGACGGTACTCGACGAGTTTATCTATCAAATATCTTTAATATACTGTTTACTACCTACTTATTAAATAGGAAGACGCTGATGAGCAGGCAACTATACAAGTACACAACACTCATTTATATGGGTTAGTATGCAATCTTGTAAAGTGGGTCATTTACAATGAACGCGGCATCTGTAGTGCACACTCTTACTACAATATTTTACTCTTCCTTATAAATAACCATGTGTTAGCAAGCCCAACACAGATGTGACTAAGTAAATAGTTTTAATAACCATTTATAAACTTCGCAGTTTCTTGATACTTGACATAGAAAACTCGAAGCAAGTTTCCGTGAATTGCGACAAATTATATTTCTTCTGCGCAAAAACCTTACTCCAATTAGACGTTCCTTAATTACAGCCAGTGACGTTTGAGCAAGTTGGAATAAGACTTTTTTAATTACCGTAAAAGTGGAGACTTGGAGACTAATTAAAATAGGTCACAGAGCGTTTTTCTTCGAATGGTCGTAAAATATTTTGTTATTAGTAGCGAAATATTTTATACCTTTTTATACGTAGCATTTTCTTGACGCCTCGTAGTTACTTGAAGTTGACACATTTTTTTTTCTCACACCCACAAACCACGTAGAAATTTTGTTCTACATCTTTTTTTGTTTTCGCTTACTTTTCTTGTCACAAGATTTTTTGCAATACACCAATATCGCAACTATGGATATAATAATTAAATTTTCGGTTTTACATAACTGAGAAAGTGTACGCATTGTTTTTTTTTTACAAAATAGTGTGGGGATACATTGATGGCTTCTGCAAAGTGGATAAGGGGCGTAGTCTCTATAATCCATTTACGAATAAGGCTGTTACGATGAAGGTAATACACTAAAGCGAACTAAAGCGTTTAATTGAAGGTCTTGATCCAATGTCGAATTAATTACTTTTCGTGATCCCGTCTAGTATGGCGAAAATTTCGACAAAAAAGTAGGTTTTAAAGTTACTTTCGATCAAAAAGGGTGATAATGTTACTAATATACCGTAAATACGACATCAATATTGATTAAAACTTTTAACAAGGAAGGAACTTGATCTCTATTTCAGGTGAATGGCGATAGACGGTATACCTAAGTTATACCTGCATAATAAATTAATTGATACATTTCTCGACAGAGAACTAAGCTCAGTGATTTGGACTTACTCCTCTGTAGACATTTTCTGTAGACCGCATTTTTTTTAATCTATGTTCAGCCCTAATTCCAGCGAAATTTTCAGCCAATTTTTCAATCTCCAAACGTATTCTAACTTCATTCCCCTATATTCTAAGGGCTTTATAAAATGGACAATCCCATAAGACCGATATCCGATCCGATCCCTTATTAAAATTTCAGACTCGATCGATGATATATTTTTGTTTTACACACCGTCTGCGTCTGGAGGGATCGAAGGGGATCAAGAGACGTATTTAGGTCATCAGTAGACGAAACCAGGTTTATAGGTTAACTAAACAAGGGTGTAAATTGAGTGAACTTAGAGTTCATAAAGGTTAGTGGATAATTGAATTGGGTGAAGCTTTGAGAGGAGTTTTGTGAGTGAAAGACCTAAAAACTATATTGGGGCTTCAAATATGGCGATCAATTATCAGGCAATCTAACTAGATATGTTTAAAAGTGGAGGAATCCCTAAGTATATTTGACGAATTAGGTATTTATTTATTTGCATGAATCGTCTCTTCAATAATTCAAATTCATTAGCATAGTTCATTTCACAAATATAAATTTCGGTTAAAGCTTAATTAAGATATTTCTGAATTTGACATAAACATTCTGTAGAATTCTAAGAAAGCAAACAAAATTTCTACCAACCTATTTCTGACACAGTGTAAAATAATATTTTAGTTCAAGAATAACAGAACGGTAGGGAAATATTCCAAACAAGTGCGTATGCATAACACAGACCTACCTTTAAAATACGTTATATTGATATGCTATCAACATCACTCGATAAAAAAATCTCATACAAAACAAGTCAAAATGCAAAAAGATTTATAGTGTTTTAAGATTCTTCCACAATTGGACTGCACGGTTGGCGCGGTGGCTGGGCAACTGGCTGCCGCGCAACGTGTCGCGGGTTCGATTCCCGCACGGAACAACTCTTTGTGTGATCCACAGATTGTTGTTCCGGGTCTGGGTGTTATGTGTATGTGAAATTGTATGTTTGTAAACGCACCCACGACACAGGAGAAAATCCTAGTGTGGGGCAACGTTTTTTTATAAAAAAAAAAATATTAATATCGCAGATGACTCTTTTGCATACTTGTTATAACTTAACCTAAAGCAAATTAACATTTTTATATAATTCTACAATCTATACATTTTACTTGTCAAACACTGGACGTACAGGAAACGTCTGATAACAAACTGGCACGTGTATTCAGTCCCTTTTCAAAATGACAGCCTCTTGTCACTACTCGTGTCTTGTGTCTTCCGCCCTTTGTGGAACACGCTAGAGGCATTTCTTGTATGAAATGGTATCGATGTATTCACAATTTATGCATATTTATGGACTGTGATTGTGACTTTGCAGCTGTCATGTAACTAAAATTTCAACGCAATAAGTATTATTGAACTTGTAACAATTATTAGATACCAACTATCACACAATTGGATACTTTACAGTCTAGTCAAATTCAAAACCAAATAAAAAACGATATGTTTGTACGAATTTTACACTAGGTTGTGTGTTATAACGACATATCTTTTGCGTTAAACTTCACGTTGACTAATAGAAGATCTGTAAACTTGTAAATGTAAATGAAACTCACCTTCAAATATATTCTGGATGATGAGGTAGCTCTGGGTGACAACAATAAGTAGAGCCACGTGTGTCCAGGCGAAGAGACTGAACTGTCTCATGTAGTACCTCTTGACGAGGGACAGGACGAACCATACGAAGCCCACGCAGTAGAGACTGAATGAGATGAAGCGATGGTACGTCACCAAGAACTTCAGGTAGTCCTGTTGAAGAAGTGTGAGATTAGAATCAAATTTTTGGTTCTGGAAATGGGCTGATACTTGTTCATGGTAATAGCTGATAAAATAAGAAACACGAAAGTGAAAATAATTCAAACAAATTATATCGAAAGTAAAACGACACATTGATTGACAGATAGACAACAGTGATTATACTTTTTGTACGAGACCTGATTATATTATCGACGCAAAGTGAGCAAAAATGTAAGTTATTCACATAAATAATTCAAAGAGCTCTCGTAATACAAGCGCGTCAAAACATTGAATCATAATTTTATTTTTTATGCCGTACATTGTCTTACATGTATTAAAGATTGGTCGATGAAAATTCACAAGGTATAAAATAAGGCATTCCATTTAATGGAGGAAATCAGAGGTGTTTCAAAATGTTGGAGTAGACTGATCACCTGGTGGTAAGTGATCAGTGCCGCCCATGACAACTCTATAGGAGCTGCAAGAGCATTGCGACCTTTAAAACCCTTCTCCATCTAAGTGGGTGTTCGTATATTATATAGAGACCATGGCAGTTGAATTGCTGAGTTGCTTTAAGAAGAAAATACCAATGACAATTTCGTAAGGCCAGTTATAATGCGTTGACTAATAAAATATACGGCCATGGCTAATGCGTTAACTATATTATTTCTTGACAAGACACCAATTATTACCCTCAGAGAAGAAAGGGACATAAAATGTAACAGTTCCGCTATGGTCGAATAAACCACCTAATTAGTTATTAACTAGTAAATGGCTAGATTCTACCAAATGTATTACCAATCCAATTTGTCTATTTCCTTGATCAAGTAATCGTTTTAAAACGTTCTCATTGGTGGAAACTAATGAATGCCTGAGTACTTTGGTAAAATGAGGTTAATCAGTTAATTTAATTGGTTGGTTAATCCGATAAAGCAATCGGTTTAAATACACGTTTGTATATTAGTAACAAACTAACGTATATTGTTTATTTGTCGCGGTAGCTCGTGACGGTTCAGTAATCAATGGGCCTCCTCTACATATGGTTTCCCACAATGTCCACGCATGGCTGGTGGGTTGGAGACAGTAATTTGAAAGGTTTAGGTCTATCACATAGCAATGCTACCCCATCTATGTAAAACTTAGACAAAAAACAAAGTAATGACAAATGTATTTCACTGCCGTCACGACAATATTTTGGTATTTAAACTGTCAAACACCAAGCGGTCACCGGTGACCGCAACCTATTGTTCTATAATTGTGTCTACAAAACCGGTACTCGACGAGTTAATCATTATTGTCGCATATCAATTTGTAGTTTATTAACGTTATTAGAATCGTTGCTAAGCAACAGCCACGATGTTTTTTTTTTTTTTTTTTTAAATCTTATATTTCTTATTCTCCACGGACTCTTAGCCACGATGGTTGTATTGTACCTATACCTACACGTGTCACGTTAATGTGCAATATACTCTGTTAGATTAGACTATTACTGTCTCCAAGGAACTACCATTCATCGATTAAATTTTAATGCGGGCTACTAGAATGTCTAACCGACTAAATTATTCTTCGTTATTCCTTTTTGCTTTAACAATAGGATCGAGGCATCCGTAATCTCCTAATTCAGTAGGATTGAAGGAAAACCGCGTTTCATTCTGATTTTCGCGTTTACTCCAAGGACGATCTATGATATTTCATAATGACGAAGGACATTTTTTGACAATCGAGGATTATACATGCCCAGACACTGACGGGACATATCAACCATAGGTACTTAGATATGGCAACAAATGTCAACTTTTCACAAAAATATTTATAACTACGTAGATAATGCAAGCAAGGCCAACAACACAATCTCGGTCACTCAATCAAGCGCTTATCATAACGACTTATTAATGACGTAGAGGCATTCAAATCACGCGTCGGCCATTGATGAAAGATAGATAGTGCTGGTAAACTGTGAATCATTCTAGTATTTTCGTATGACCAATGTCCATTTGTGGTCATACGATGTTCTTATTAATGTTATCATTGGAGATAGTTATTTTATTGTGGTTTTTACGTTGCTAGTTGATGGTATTGGAATGTTTAATTTAATATAGTAATAGATCTAGTCGATAGTACTAATATGAAGTTTGTTGCTAGGGAATAGGATTTGTTTGAATAATTCTGTAGACAATTTTAATTTTTAGATAAAAGACATGTTTCATATTTATTCAAAGTTCCTCTCAAAAGAATGGTACTAACTTTCTACTCAAAACGTAACTAAAGGTTACTTCAACTTACAATTTTCTGTAGAACTCTCAAAAATATCAAACTAACCTAGCAATAATAATTTTGAGAGCATTTTATTCCGTACTTTTGATATCCATTCTGTCCTATACACATGTAAACAAGAACTACGAACTAAGATACGAAATAATCTTATCATTATCAGTTGATCGTACGATTACTGACTGGCAATAAAGGTTGATGTCTATTCGCATAAATTATTTCATCAGATAAGATTCAGTGGGGTGATGCAATTGATTATACCTATTATATGGTATTTGTTTATACGAGTTTTTCCGAACGCTTTGCACGTGTGCATTTAACATTTAATTGTTAAACTATTATAATATTGTTGTGTGATGTGGATAAACCTCCTATTATGAAGATTTTTCGTACAGTACCAGCACATCAACTTACTACCCCAAAGTGTCAGCTCTTGTCATTGGATTTTCGACTTTATTTGTAAATGATAGAGTTGAAAATATCAATCTCAAAAAACAGAGTAGATTGACCTGCCACCCACTGTAAAATGAACTCTGTTTGTCACACAACTCCTATGGCATGATATGGACAACCATGATATTTATAGTTAAGAATGTGAATTTATTAAAAAAGCCCTTCCGTATAACGCTACAGTCATTCATGTAAAATATTCAAATGAATCTAAGACTTATTTAAGAGGTGAACCCTTTTAACTATTGGAAATTAGGAATGGAGAAAAGAATCAGAAATACACACTAAAGTATTATGCTAACTATACAATCTTTAATCAATGTGATGTTACCGTACCATAGTTCAATTCCATTACCTAAGTTCAATGAATAACTATTAACATAAAGTTCCGTTCGTTATAACCGTAAAGTTTGTTTATAGGCCCCTGAATCAATGGATTTCGATAAAGTGATAGATGGAACCTTATCTATTTTTGTTTATTAGTAGGTATAAACTAATCTTGCGCGGTTACACGCGCTGCTTGACTCCTATTGAACAAAAATATTGTTTCGGTTCGAACTCTACAGCTGTACCCACCCTGTATAAAGTAATACCCTGTATAATGTTATGCGAAATCTCGTGAATGACAAAATTACGTAGACGGATACGCGATTTGCATCACAATGAATTCAATTTAAATTTCTCATCTGAGAGAATTGTAATATTCATGTGCGGAAAATCGGAAATCAAATTGAGGTAGTATGTGCGCGAAAATGCCAATTGTGAGAGAAGAAATGTTTCACTAAAATGAATTCACTTAGTATTATTTTAAGGTTTTATCTCGTACATCAGGTTCATAATACCCAATAAGGGCTATCTATAGGTAAGGCAATTATATTCGTAACCATAATTTTCTAGTAGAAAGACTTATCAGAATCTATTTTTGTCTACCGTTCATGGCCTTGAAATTGTCTTTATTGTATTAGCATTAAAGGTCATATTTGTCGGACAAACACTATGTAATGAATGAGCATTGTTAGTTGCCATGGCAATTATTATTATCACCTACAAGTTTTGGTTTAGTATCTTTTATGACTAGTTGAATTTCTAATTGTGTTATGGGTGTATTCAACAACTTACTGAAATGAAATAACCACCTAAACAAATTTTCCCATGTGCGAATCGAAACGTCGCGTCGGCTAGTGGCCCAAGAAAAGCGCCATCTACCTATGACAAGTATTTTAACCTTTTGAGTGCCAATGTCACATAGGTATACGCGACAAGCGAAAACTGTCCCTAGACGCCAACGACACAAATACATGACAGAAAAAGCGGAACCAGAAACACGAAATCAACAATAGGGATTCCAATAATCCCTATTTCTTTCGTAGAAATTTGCGTGTAATTTGTGGCTTGGTGTCGAAGGCAGGTTCATGTGTTTTTGCTCTGGCGTTCAAAAGGTTAATTACATTTTTAAGCAGTAGTCCCTAAACTACTAAACAGATAATTTCACTGCCCAATGAATAACAATAAGGACAAAACTATACGAAAGGTTCACTTACCGTCCTATTAATGACGACTCCAAAGTAATCAATGAGGTTCTCTCCGTAGAAGAAGTAGTTGGAAGTCAGCAGGAAATACCAGGAGAGGGACCTGAACCATGGCAGGCCATGGACGCGGTAGACGGCGTACCCAATGTTGATGATCTCTTCGAAACATTTCACTTGCACACACAGTACCTGGTGATGGAAATATGAAGTTAATTTTTGGGTTATTTAGGTGTATTTTTATTTTTACAGATGAATGAAGCTGATTGTTGCATTAAAAAATATATAAAATAACAATTCTGCTTTAGTTTATACGTACTTAAAATAAGTCGTGCACAGGTTTGAAACAATTCAAGCAACCCAAAAAATATAAGTACTACAAGGTATTATGTTTTGTCTCAGTATCTCCTAGTCCACAAAAGACAACTATTTTGAGTTGAGTATATACTTTAATTTTTTTGTATTAATTATTATTATAACTAGATACAGTTACTACAATTATAATTTATTCTGACATCATTCCGTAGATTACGAAACGCCAACTAGTATTTTGGAGGTCACACACGCAGCGGATGCGTTGTGGCATGCAGCTACATGGTCGCGGTCGGTTGACTGTTATTGGTCAACTTCTGTAGACACATTCAATTTCATACATAGTTACTATTTCATAGACAGACAGAATAAAATAGAATTTATCGAAGCAATAAATATATACTAGCTTTCCAACTGCGTTATAAAAACCATGACAGTAGACATCTAAATTTTCCCTAGGAATCAAACTACCTAAAAAATTCAAAAATGTAAAAAAAGAAACAAGTTCATTTGAAAAACACCATGGTACTTATAAAATGTGATTGCAGCCTCCTTTTAAGCAAGATATGGCTGTGTTAAAAGACTCCACTCTTTCACAACAAGACATGCATTTAAACTTCCATGAATGCAAATATTGCTTATTTTAATTTAACTACTCAAGTTTAGGTACATAATTGAAATATGTCCATCAGTTTTAGAGTTTATCGTGTCCATCCAGAGAGAGACACAAAAGAGGACTTCTGTATTTAGAAACGTAGGGATAGGTTGTGTGGCCCACTAACTAATTAATTCGGTTTGTATAATTCTGTAAATGTTTATAATGAAACAAATAATGGACTGGGAGTAAAAAAATATAAAATTTTTAAGCACAAGAAATAAAGAAACCAGATTATCTCATGCAAATCAGTTACATTTGTTATGTAAATTATGAACCTCTACTGGAGGAGGAAGTTGGATTACCTACTACATTGTTATCATTTAACTATGTTAACTTATTTTAAAAAATAAGAGGAAAATATAGACTTATAATAGGTTAAAAGAGTTTGTAAAATTTTGTGACTGCGAACAAAGAGGTTATTAATTGTTTTTTTTTATTCTAGTAATAGTATCCAAAACCAATAGTTACTAGATATTTATATATAAAAATACCCGAATTAATAATTTTTAATTATTATTTTTTTAAATTATATCTTTATATTGTTAACTCGTCGAGTACTGGTTTTGTAGACACAATTATAGAACAATAGGTTGTGGTCACCGGTGACCGCTTGGTGTTTGACAGTTTAAGTAACTATTTATTACATTGCATATATCTAACAAAATTAAATCATAGAAAATGTGAGCACAAAACATTATGTTACTTACTGTGATCATAAGAGCCAGCGGTCCTCCATAGATGAGCAGGCAGAACGCAGCAATCATCAACCAGGTGAAGATGCCTCGGATAACCCAGTTCCTCCATCTAAATGAAAATTAATATTTAAATGTTTAATGTCACGGGGGTCACCAGTGACTGATGTTAACAAAGGATTTGCGTTCAACAGTTTTGTAATAGCAGCCAAAGGCTTAATTTAGTTTGCCAAAGGAAATCTGTCAAAAACTTAGATCAATCCAGTTGAGATGGGTAATTAATTTTCACCCTAACTATAGAGATCATAAGAAATATCTAACTTTCAACATATTGTGAAAGACATAAAGACTTGCGAGTAGAATATTCTTTTTTCTCTTTAACACTACAAAATATATTCAATTTACAAGTACCTAATTAGTAAGATTTAAATATAATATCAGTATGACTGCCTCATAGTGGTTGCAAGTGCGACTGACGGGCAAGAAGTCTCAAGTTCAATTCCCGGCTCGGGCAAAGTATGACTGGGTTTTATAAAAATTCTCAGTAGTAGCACGGAGTCTGGAATCGAGTCCGGTATATGGCAATAGACTCACCCCCTATTACATGGGACTCATGACATAGATAGTGAAAAGTGGGTGTTACATTGTACAGTGCCATAATGTGCACCTCTGGATGTGGGGATAAAAGGTGTGATGTTATGTTATGTTAAATATTAGTATTTATTTTGTCAAATATTTCTATTAGATCAGATTTAGTTTATATTATTTCATGTAGCTAATATTCATACTTAAGTGGATTTCCTATATAAAACAAGTTTGAACAATTTACATTTTAATGATAATGAAAGTATTAATATTGACCTTACTCCACATGGTTTTAAAAACGTGTTTAGCACTGAGTATTGTGTAAAATAGATTTAAATAAGGATTTACTGTGAGAACCTCTTTGGTTATCCATTTCTTTATTATAGACATACCAATTTTTTTTTTTTACTTTGGGCAAAGAATGTTTTAATTATTTTTCTGTTGTTAGTTTCATAGCCAAGCCCTAAATGTTAAATAAATCATTGGTATTGTAAAAAATATTTTATGTGCTGCAAATAACATATATGTTATTATTTTCTTTGTTTGTCAAAAGATATTTGTAAACTTAGTAAAAAAAACTATTGCATTATGGAATTCTGATATACGACTTTGTAAGTTCTCGGCGTCTATTTTGTAAGCAAACTTCAAATTAATTTTACAACTACATGATATCATAATAATAGAACAATACATCTTCCTCAACTATTTTATAAATAGAATGCAACTGTAGCAAAAAACTGTATTACCTTGACGATAGTCCCGAAAGAGCAGAGTCAAGGATTTCCGGAGTTTTATCCGTTCCCTGAGGCAAAGACTTCGCCAATTCATCCACATATTTTTCTTCTATATTCTTCTCCTCCTCCGAATCGACCTATTAATTATGCATTACAATATTACTTCACAGAATTTTAATTACAAACTGGTTTTATGTGAGAATTAACAATATAATAAAGCACGTACGTGATCAGATTCGCCAGCGTTCTCCAGTTTGTCGTTTCCATCACCTTCCCCGCGCCGATGTCTTAATTCACTCATATCCTTTGTTTATTTTCAAATAGCTTTTCACAAACAACAACCGATTTGACACTGAACACTTCACTAAATAGAATATTTTAATTCATTTATCCGAGAAAAATAAAGAATCCGAGAATGTTTTCCAGCGACTTGTCAAATGAAAAATCAATAATGTTTTTTTTTATTCAATGTTGCCAGTCTATGACTAAAACAACAATGGTAGGAATATATAAGTACAAATACGTACGACATCTGAAATTCAATATATTTTTTTTTATAACGACATAAACTAGTAGTTCAGTAATTAGGTAGTTTTACCTGGAGTGTTTTCCGGGAGTTTTGAGAATCGGCAATATTATAGATTTTGATGTACTCTTTTTGATATTCATTTTGCACCTTTGTACCTGCACCGCTCGCGCCGCCATCTTGGAAAACTAACAGCCAACCAATATTTTTTTTACAATACCTCTTCTCATTTCTGATTTTACGAGAAAACTGTTTGATAACTACAAAATTAAACTACTCACAATTTTCTACAATTTATGTTTAGACAGCTTTTTTGTAATTTTGGCATCAGAGCACCGCAAATTACGTTTATTTTTATTCAATTTCGAAAAAAAATGTGCCCGGTACATGGGACTCATAACTTAGAATACCTAGTAAAAAGTGAATGTTACATTGTACCACTGTACAATGTAACATTCACTTTTTACTTAATATCACTATATTAAGTGCCATAATGTACGCCTCTGCCTACCCCTTTGACGATAAAAGGCGTGAAGTTATGTTACCTTTGTTATGTTTATGATAGAAATAAATAAAATTGTAAATTAAATAAAAAAGAAACTCAGATATTTACTTCACGTCTTCAACAATTTCTTTTAATTTTATGTTGTGGTAGGTAGGTACTAAAATTATTAACTGTTTTTTTTATTTAAACTGTCAAACACCAAGCGGTCACCGGTGACCGCAACCTATTGTTCTATAATTGTGTCTACAAAACCGGTACTCGACGAGTTAAACCAGAGTCCATTTTTATAGGCTGAAATCCTACTGTTTTGTTATCTGCGAAAGGGTAAAAGTAGTTTTTGAAAAACATATTTCGGCAACTTTCTCTGATAAACGTCAAACTTTCTAATAAACGTAAACATGGCGAGTGATTCAGATGATTTTGATAAAAATATAGAAAATGTAAGTTATTTCTGAAAGATTCAATATAACTACTGGTTTTAGAAATATATTTATTTTGTGGTGTTGTAATTTCAGCTCAAAAGCAACGTTAGAGCGTCGTTCGCGCGAGTATATGCAACTTTAAAAGCTCGGGAATTAAAAACTTTACGACAACTAGATGCTATAAGTAAACAATGCCAAGACGACAAAGACTTGAAGCGGAATTGTGTTCAAAATATTCATATATGCTTCAATAACGAGTCCACACTACTAGAGAATGTAAGTAATTATGGTGTTATTGATTTTGAAAAACTGAACTTTGATAGTAATACTTTTACATTAGAAGATTATGTGAACCCTGAGGATGACCATATGTACTCGTATAAAACTATTGAGGAGGTGACTAAAGAGGTTGGTGAAAAGGAGGCGGACTTAGAGGCTATAGAGGAGGCTGCTTTGAAACAGATTACTGCCACAGACAACTGTGTATGTTATGTAAATATTAAAACCGAAGAAGTATCAAAAAAATTTAGGGATTTAGAAACTAGTCCATCGTCAGGCAAAGTATGTGAGAGTAAGACTAACCACATTAGTTTGGATAACAACGAGGTTGAATGTCCGGACTGTCCGGAGAGTATTACTGAAGATGATAAAAGTGACAGTTCTGATGCGGACATAAAGAAAATAGATCCGACAGATGATTGGTTGAACTCAATTAAAAGTCAGACTGAAACGGAACCGTCGCAAGTAACCGATGTAATGGAACACAGTACTATAGCTTGTTTATAGCAGAACTTAGTAGTGATATTGATATGAATTTACATTTTACGAAGTAGTTAATAAATTTTATATTTTGTATACTATTTGGTTTTATTGGAATCATTTTCGAACTATTTGCCGATATTCATACATAAAGCCTATGTTATTTATAACCAACATCGAAATTGTATTATTATAAAGAAGAGCTGCATTGATTTAATAACAGGCTGCATTGAGATAACTGTAGATGTGGATAGAGTTAGTTTATTGGAGAGACCTTTATAAATGATACACAGACAGTAGATATTCTTCTATAAATGTTAGCATATTGCTTCTCACACAAACACTGGTGTTTTGCGACTTGGCGGCGGCATGGCGGTATGTGTACTGCCATTTCTTAAAGGCTAGGCTAAATATGCCAGGTGCCAGTTCATGCAGGATATTACAGTTACTAAATCATATTCTAGAATTAGCATTTTTCTGTATGTTAATAAGTACTTTACAAAACTATACCAAGCGTGCATATCCTTGTAATAAGTGTGTTTGCGCAAGTGCTCTCTTAACACAAAACTATCTTTTTAGTATAAATTAACCCCATAGTAGTAGTCTCTAAACATTGGAAATAAGGTCTATAATGTAGTTAGTGAAGAGCGGTCACTGGTGACCGCTTGGAGATATACGGGTTAAGGTATTTTTGGGAGGGAAAATACCTAGTTAGGTAGGAAAGGAAATGTCCTAAATATCTCATTTTGGAAATAAGAAAATAAAACGACATTATTTAAAGCATCATCTTATATTGTTAATAAATTTTTACAAATGGCGTTATTACTGAATTAAACTAATTGCGATATGACTTCAGATTATGTTCCCTATGAATAAATACCCATTGCTTTCATACACAATTATATAGCAAAATTCTTAAGACATGTAATGATCAATCAAATACCGCTTCCCATTCCATATTTCGCCCGCATTATGTAATACTATGGTTTTATGGCACTTAATACATGACATACATTTTACAAATCATTCCTATAAATTCCCATTGTTGGATGGAATCTGTTGGAGTTAGGTATTCTAGTTTGTACTCGACTTTTTCACTGGAAATATTACTTTGATGGCACGAACAGAAGTGCTGTGGAGGGGATCATTTAATACAGGTTATCTAATAGCGTGAGAGCCGCATATTTACTAAGATAGTGAAACTACAATATGGCTACATTTCAATTACAATTCTATTACAATCGAATTAGGCACTAATTTCCCACGTAATTAGGCAGTTTTAGGCCACTTTTTGTTCTCACAGGTGTTACTATTTTATTGTCTCGATAATTTAAAGTGAGCTACAAACTAAGAATTTTCCGATTATTCATTTACGATTACATTTTATGAATACTGTGTTAAATAATTTCTACGTTGATACTTTCGATGATAATAAGTTAGTAAAGACAAACAAAATTTTAATAATAGGGGATACAATGTGTTTAAGAGATAAATTCCGTAAGTAGGGAGTACAAAATCTTAAACGAGTAACATTTTTGAACTTAACGTACGAAGGTATTGCGTATCTAAAGCGTGTTACAATGTAGTTATGAATAAGTTTTATTACTATCTTACATCATAGTGTTATGTCTACTATTGTACATTTTACAACAAAAAATATATGATAATTGCTATACAAGGCCAAAGTCCGTGCACACAGCGGCGACATCACGATTATTCTGCTTCTCCGAGTTGTTGGCAGCCATGTTCAACTCGACAAGCGTGTCGACGCTATTGATACTGACGCCTTTCAATATCTTTTGCGCTGCTAAACTAGTGAAATTAAAGCTCAAATCGCTTAAACTCGGAAAATTATAGAAATCCTGGTTTTCCTTCTTGCTCTCTTGGCTCAGGCTGTACCTCTTCTGTTTGTTTTCCAAGCAATTCAATTTCTCTACCGACGTGTTTATGTCCTTTATAGGCTCTTGGTTCTTCAGTGCTAAGTTCGGCTCGGATCCCAGCACTGTCGGTTTCTGGTCGATAGCTTTCGTTAGCATATTCGCTATGGAATCCGAGCTCACCCTGTTATTTACATTAGGGAGTCCGTTCAACATTTGTAACGCTGCTGCCTTTTTTAGCAAGTCGACGCTTTTCAGCTCGCTATTTGAATTTATATTCGGTTGTATCCCGCTGTTGGCTGAAGACAACGAGTTCTTCTGGTACCTCAAACTTCCCAACGATCCTATAATGTTATCGTAACTTTTAGTTGGCGTTGAAGGAATACTATTTGCAGTAGTTTCCAAATTATTTATATTGTTATGAATGGCTGGAGAAGCAGGATTGGATGCAACTTCGTTCGTATTATTTAATTGATTTTTATACACAAAACTATTGTTGTTAGTCGCACCACCAATTTGCAACGATAGCTTACGATTATTGTTCATACCCGCGTCGTTAATTGAATTCTTATTGAACTTATTTTCTTGGACTTTTATCGGTTCCTCTTGCTGATACATCTGTTTATTCTTTTCTACACAAACATCAAATGAGGTTTCAGTTGGGTTTTTTGCAGTTTTATTTTGCACTCCGTTCTGTGACACGGAGACGACCTGCCTATCGTCGTTGATGATGTAAATATTGCTCCCATTTGAAGTCTCGGTGACTTTGCCATTTTCAAAAGTAATAACGGACCTTACTGGCGAATTTTGTACATAAACTTTGGTGTTAGTACCACCACCGTTCTGAGAGATAGTATTTGTGGTAACTTTTAGCGTGATAGAATTGTTAGAATTAGAGCTGGCCAACATCGTCGTCGACGGGTTTTCTACCTTAGTCCCCAAGGTTTTATGCAGCGGGGTTGCGGTTTTTTTGGGTGTGCTTGGACAGTTTTTTGGCGAACTTTTGGGTGATGTGTTACCGTTTTTTACCGTTTCACCACCGACCATGGGTGGTTTGGTTCTGAATTTGTGCAGGCTCTTTGGCGAACTCTGTAAGCTCTGTACTTTGACGAGTGACTGTGCTCTGCTAAGGCCGGGGGCTCCGTGTGCGTTGCTATGACTAGGCGAAGGCTTTAACGTGCGGTCAGATATGTGGGACTCTAAACTGGAATGGCCGCTACTCCCGCTAGTGTTGTAGCCCCGTTTCATTGGAGAGTTTTGGTCTAACTGACCGTTTTTGACGTCCTTTCTTGGTGTGCGTTGTGGGTGTGTGGTAGTACTTTCTAAACTGGAAGGACCACTAGTTGACATGATGTGGTCTGAATTGGAGTAATCCACCCTCCTGAGGCTTCCGCTTGGACTGTCTCTTAGTTTGGGATCGCTATTTCTTTGTGGTGACCCGAAGTGATCGAGGATGGTTTTATTGGTGGAACTCCTGCTTAGAGTGGAGCGTGGTAAGCTGCCAGAGCTGGGGCTGGAGTGCCTGACGGGCGAGTGATCGTAATGAGAGCCCGCCAGTCCCGACTCCGTGGAGAGGTGGCGCTTGTGCCGCCTTGGCAGTGTTGACGACCGATTACTGATCTCCGAACCGTCGTAGTATGATGAGACGAAAGATGTTTGACTCTGCAATGACTCCTGGAAAACAAAACATAATAATTAGATAACGATTACATGATTAGTTAATTTTACACGTATCTATGCTAACCAGGTTTATCCTTGGCTCAGCACGCGCGTTATTTATTACCGTCACATGTTTACTTTGTGTGACTAATTGCGTGGCATGCTTATTGATAATAGCGAAACCTTGAAGGACTGTATGCCGTAAGACGACATTAAGAGTAAGGCTTCGTCCTCTTAGTTGTATATTGTAAAATTAAGTCAAAATACACACAAGGCATTCGTTTACCAACTTGGTTTCTGGTCGGAGAAAAGCTACCTAGGTACTGATGTTGAAGTATTTATGTCCATCAATGGTGATGAATATAGAAAAAAGGACCCTTCCCGATGCTTCCATTTGCACAAGTTACATCTTGTGACAGTTCACAGCTGGGCTAGCTTTTACAAAAGAGCAATTAACGACTATGTAGATATTATGTCATGAGACTGAGAGAATTCATACATACCTTTGAGTTGGTCTGTGTGGCGACGCAGTGTAGGTGCACCGCCTTGGAGTTGAACCACTCCGTAGGCGGGAACTGCGCAGAGAAGGTGCTCATCGCGCGCGTCTGCTTGCTGCGGCCGCTTCGTCTGAATAAGCGGGACAGCAGGGACACTTTCTCTGAAATTATTAAGGGTAACTTTAAGTTTTGTGCAGTCAATTCATGTTTTTGAGGGTTCTATAGGATATGAGGAAGACGAGTTAGAAAAATAATTAGATAGGATAACTTATCCTGCACTATTACGGGTAAATAGCCTTACAATAATAAATACTCATTTAAGTATGATTTTTATGGTAGAATCGTACTAAGAAAAATTAGGTTAGGTGTATGATATTTAAAAAAAAGTAACGACTATGACTAGGTATGCCAGTTAAAAAATACTAAGCAACTTATTCTTGCACAAAAGAAACAGACACTAAAATAGTCAGATTTCAAAGCTTTTTGTACATGCCTATTTGAAATCATTATAATATTGAAAATAGGTAGGTACGTAGGTGAGTACTTGCCAGGTTTCGAACCCACACTATCAAGTAGTTCAACCACAGGGCCAACACCGCATTCTCCGATTTTAGATTCCTGTAGAACATCTAATTTATATGGTTAAAAATGTGTCTACAGAAATTGGGATATAGGTTAACTTACGAAACGAAGCTTAAGTTTTCTTTGTGGCTTAGATAGGACTAATTGAATCTACCGTAGACTACCCATACTTAGATAGGACTCTAATTAATCTAAGTGCAGTTTATCTCAAGAACTTCCCATTGACACTGGACAAACTGTCATACCAATGGCATTTATAAATATATAAGGGAAGCTGCTAAGGGACCACTTACTTAGCTGGATGTAAAGAAGCATCGATATAAAAATATTAAAGGGAAACTTACTAGGTGACGCAGATTCGACGCTCGGCGGGTAATCGGTGGACGACGAGCTGTCGGTGGTGTTGGCGTTCTTGTGATGAAGGCTTCTGGTTGAGGCACACCTCTGCAGGTACTTGCTGGAGGAGCCGAAGATCCGCAACGAGTTCCGCCGGTCTAAGGACCGAGGAGCAGGGAATGACGCACTCCGTCTCTTGTTTGGACGACCATACAGGATTTTGTCGTTGGGATTGCCTGGAATTGAGAATGTAGGTGTTAATTAAACCCGTGGCTTTGGTATTTAGTTACTGGTGCTTGTTAAGGGTTTTTGGAAGACATACCTCTAGATGCAATGAAGTTGAGGTTCCAAATAGAATGAGGCACCTACGTGATTTTCAAAGTAGGAAATTTATTATTGCTCTAAAAAGGAAAACTTGACTACGACATGTCTTAATATTGAATTGGACAGCGTCTAATCAATAATATCTCTTGTTGTTCAACTCAGTAAAGTTTTGTCAATAAAGGCATAATGGTGAGCTTTATCGACGTAATCATTACAAATAGACAAATAATAAACAGTTTCCTTTTAATTGTAATATTAGTGCCCACACCTAATAATAGTCCCCTTTTACGCCACACTAAGATTATGCGAATGTGAGCAGTTAATAGCGTCATTACAAATGGGAATATATTCCAAGGTATTTGTTTGTGCACGATTTAAATTTAACAGACATTAATGTTTTGTATGTTGATTTGTGACCGTTATAAATGTTTTCATAATCTTTGCTTGTTAAGTTTTGCTAATGGGTTGCGATAAAACGGCTCTGTTTTGAAATACGATGTTATGGGCGACGTACTATAATGTATGTTTTAGTGATTGGTATGGCATAAATGTCATAGTTTCACATTGTTGAGGAGTTAGATTGTAGTCATTTGATGTTATATGGTTGTTTTTTTTAAGGTGGGAAGTCTCAGACTCTTTCTGACTAAAAACCACCCCGTTCCTTTTCCTGCACGTCGAGCCGGAGCCCCGGTAACCCGTTAGGTTCTCCGCGACATGTTTTAAGGGTTGAAAAGATTATATTGCATACCGCCGAAAGACAAGTACCTTTACGTAGACAGTACCTAGAAAGACAAGTAAAAGACAATGTGTTTAAAAATGGAGATTTCTTATGGTTTTCGTTTAAAAGTTCCTCTTTTGTTCATCATTTTGGCGAAATAAGAGCAAAACTTAGACCACGTGTTCCGAACGAAAAAGAAATTCAAGAGCCTAAAATCGGCAATTCCCCAATTTGAATTTAACATTCAATTTTCATTGTGAAAATGTGAAATGTCAAAGTGTTGACATGACATAGAAATCTCATTAACCGTTCAAAAAGCCAATAATTCATCGGAAACGCGTGCGCGCGCGCAACTGACGCACAAAGAGCGATCCCCACAGTTGCTCTTATAAATCAAGGGCGGACTTGACAGATGTGTAAATACCTACTGTCAGAGTACAGACTGCACATGCACAGTGCACATATATTCTACCATCCATTGTAAAATGACCTCTTGTGCAGTGAAAGGTTATAAAAGATGGAATGTCAATTTAAATTCGGAAAATTTAACCTATTTTCGTAACATCCGTTGTATGGAACGCACATGAAATACCTATTTAGGTACCTAGCTAGGTCCCTATTAGTGTGTTCTTCAAAATTAAGGCTTCCTACCTAAGTATCAAGGTACTGCTTCTGATTCTCATGATTTTCTTTACCTGCAACTAAATTCTTACTATTTGTCAGCCGTGTGTTGGCTAGTTGCCATGTGATTGACCTGAAATCATTTCGACCATTCAAATATGGTGTCTTTTTTTAAGTCAAATTTGAACTTCGAATTAAAAACGTCAAACAATTTATCTCCATGTTCATACTAAGATTAGCTTAGTTTAGTATTAAACAGAAGTGTATGTGACTGTTTGTGTTGACACGACCGTTCTGTTAGCAGCTCCAGTAATTAATATTGCATTTAATTGAGGTTATATTTACAAAATGTCTGCCTCGAGATTGTAATTTTAAGGTTTTATTGCATTTTGTGGGCTACGTTTTTGCGGTGAAGGGAGTGTTCGTGGGTTCTTATTTCGATTCAGTAAATAAATAAGTACCGACATCCTAGTAGGTAATTTCTTTTTTATAGTAGTGTTTATCCTGTTTGGTATCATAAGTAGAACCTACCTGCTTGACATAATTTGTCAAACTGATTTTAACAAGGTATAGAATTACATCTTTTTTTCTGGCACCAAGAGGTATGCTTGGTCCAAGAAAAAGCCACATATTTTGAACTTCATAGCCTAATTCCTCGTATTTGAAGTTTACCACGGTACAATCATAACACAATTTTCTTTACTAAAGAAGTCATCAAATTAACATGCCTAGTTCTAAACTCAGAATTAACTCAAGTAGTACGAAGGATATGTGACTCGTATGCATAATTTTAGCACACCTTTAAGATGGGACATTTCTAGGAAACCGTTGTAATGTGATGGTATTCAGATACCTGTGACCTTTTGGGTTCCCGCAGTTTTGTATCTTGTGTAGATATGGTAATGGTTTTAATTCGATAAGTTTGAGTGTTATTGAAATCTGACAATACTTGCAAAGATATTTCGATGCGAGTTACAAAATGTCCAAAATGAAAAATATTCTGTGTAAATAGGACTATAGGTAGATTTATCATATAGGAGCTAATTTATTTTTGTTTTATAAGGCAACATGACAGTTTAGAACTTAAAACTACCGTGGTCGTTAGAATACATACATTCTTACTTAAGTAAAGGGTATAAAAAGGACGATATCTTCTAGCCCTTTGGGAAACAAAAAAGGTCTCATAACACAGAGATTTATGACCGAACAGGGATCACAATAATATCTTACACAATTTAATTACTTGCAACACTATAAGAGTCGTAAATATAAATCGTTTGCCTAACACAGTAATTCTAATTTTAAGACTGGCATTTGTGACCCGACTAGATGAAATAATACTTCATTAATTATATTGTATTGTTGATTAAAAGCGAGTTTTATGGGCCACATTAAATTATTTACCTACAAAGCATTGTATTAAGATTAGATGATATGTGATATGTCGTATTGTAACTTTCGTGAGACGTACTAAATAAATTAATATGAGCCTCTAGCATGGCTTGTCGAGTTTTTCGTCAAATTATTAAGTAAGTAAGCCGAAAACATAATAATTTATTTATATGATATGTCGTTTACATGACGAGAGATAGGTTAAATGCAACAACGATGAAGTGCACTTACATCAGTTAGTATCTATTTAAAAATGATCAGACGAAGTTTTAAAATCTTATTTGACTTCTACTTTGAATATAGTACTTACACTTCAGTAGTCACTTTCATAAACAAAACCAAAGCTTTACACATTCTAAACATGTTAAATACATCGACTAACAATTCTAGGCCCTTAACCCTTTTCCACAACAACCTTAAGTCCCATTAATGGAACAAAACCAGCATTATGCATGTGCACTCAACCTTTTTATACTCCAAGATCCTGCAATCTTCATCTGTATTCCAATAATAACTCTGGACGTCGTATCTGCTAAGTGCATTCTTATCTTTAACTAAAATACACGTCCTGCCAAAGAAATACAGTCACGAGCCGACGGCGATGGCCGACTACTATGTCGAGAGGAATGTACACATTTGCATGCCACCAAGTGTAGCGCCAATGTATTCTGGATGTACCCCATCTGCAGCATTATTGTTGCAGCTATCCTTTCCTGCTACAGCATTAACAACTTTATTAACGTTGTCTCTAGGTTCTGTTTCAGTTATTTTAGGGATTAAATTATGTATGGCGAGATTTAATTTAATGATAGCGGCTGTATGTAGCAAATTCCTCTGGTTAGGTTTGGCTAGGCACGCGTGTTATTATTCTACAGTTGATGCTAGATTACGATAGTATTTTCACTCAGTGGGTATTTTTAGTACTGGATCTAATGCTTGATCTCTTGCCATTTAGACGTGTCATAACTTTTGCTTTCATTTGTACCGACTGCATTGTTATTGTCATTGAATTAAAAGTAGTAGACAGATCTTGTCACAGCTTTATGCAACATCGTGTATTAACTAAAGGGCAGACAGTCTGCATACAGAGATATCCTGTTTTTTACATTGTGATTGTGGTCGACTCTATGTATTATTTTCAACAGTACCTACTTTTTCCAACGAGGAAATACAAATACAATGATTATCTATATTTCCTCTCAATGCAAATAAGCTACCAACTACCTCGAAAAAAGTCATTTACAGGTAATTTGAGCCATCAATCAAAATTAAATCCGTAATAGGGCAAAGAAAATGTCACTACTACCATATTAATGTTCCATAGAGCACAGTAATTGCTTCCTTCCTTAAGAGCGAATCCTGCGCATGCGCATGCCATACTTATAGCTTACGATTTGATTTAATTGTACTTTCACGACACAGATGGGCAAGCCGACTAGGAAATAATTTTCATTCATTTTGATATTCTGGTGAAGTTATTGCGTAAATTTCTCATCTCGTAACTTTATTTGGGTTAAAACCTTAGTTTATGTCTGGTTTTGTATTACTATTTAGATTATTTGTCGTATTAAAGATATATATTTTATTACAATAGCCTCTAACTTAACTTCCGAAGGGTGTCTTATCATTTGCCAATCTATTGTGTTATGCAATTCATTACCTATTTCTTCTTCCTTTACTTCTTTCACTAGGTATTCAGGTCTTATCTCTGCATTTGACTCTTTCACTTCACTTGTGTTGAATTAAGAAGCTAAATTATTGCAGTTTTAAATTATATAATGGAATATTTCCTTTCATCCATTAACTACAGTTGCCATATCTAGTTCTATGCGTGCTCTATTTCGGTGGCATTTCATAGCTGCCATTTTAGTGCCGGCGGCTCGATCTTCATAACACGTGCGACTTGTTAACGGCGTCGATAATGCGAGCGGTATGCGCGTGCGCACCCGTGATTTAGCTTTAGGTTTGATCCCTTGGGAGTGTTGTACGTTTTGAGTTATGGTTTGTTTACTGTCTGTTGTAGTACTTGTGTTTGTGATTACAGTTTTTGGTTTATGATCGAAGACAGTTAATGTTCTAGGCTTTTTGTTATTTACTTTCAATTTTTCTACTTAGGTAATGAAGTCAATCTATCTGAACTCCCATACCTTTGATAGTCGCAACATCATCGCATCCATCATT